CTCAGGTGATTCTCCCCGATCAAACCTCCTAAGTAGCTGGGACTGCAGGCGTGTGATACCATGCCTGGGTAATTTTTGTATTTTTTGTAGAGATAGGGTTTTGCCATGTTGCCCAGGCTGATCTTGAACTCCTGGGCTCAAGCAATCCTCCTGTGTTGCCCTCCCAAAGTGCTGGGATTACAGGCGTGAGCCACCACACCTGGCCTAAGAACCTGGTTTTTGGACAACTATAAAAGTGCTATTTTACATAATAGGATGTAGACACGTAATAATTCATAATGCCTGAAGGGGGCACAGGCAAAAAATATAAAGGAAATGGAGAATGACTGGATATCATAGCTAATGGTGCCACGTTTGTGTCTAACATCTTCGACATGGTTCTCAGCAACTCTCTGGGAATCAGCTGTTGAGCTAGATGGAGATGGGAAGAGGACAAAGACGGAGATAGTTCGCTGGGTGAAGTGGTTCACGTCTGAAATCCCAGCACTTTGGGAGGCCAAGGCCGATGGATCACCTAAGGTCAGGAGTTTGAGACCAGCCTGATCAACATGGAGAAACCCCGTCTCTACAAAAAATACAAAAAAAAAAATGAGCTGGGCATGGTGGCACATGTCTGTAATCCCAGCTACTCGGGATGCTGAGGCAGGAGAATCGCTTGAACCCAGGAGGCAGAGGTTGTGGTGAGCTGAGATTCCGCCACTGCACTCCAGCCTAGGCAACAAGAGCGAAATTCCATTTAAAAAAAAAAAGACTTGGATAGTTGTAATATATCTAATTATTAATTCTAACAGGCTGTGGAGAAGTTTGGCCTGAAAATCATTAGGTATAATGAAGTTTGTGTATTATTTCCAGATTGTTCTTACCATGTTGTTAAGTCACAGATGAAAACAAGCAATGTTTGAAGGATATTCCCAACCCCCAGATGTACCTAATCCTGGTGAAGCCGATGCTGTTAGCACCCTCCCATGTCCGTCGGCCTTTTAGAATTTTCAGTTGATTTCCAACTGCCAGTATGTGTACCTCTGTGCCTGCAGCCCCTTTTCCTTGGAAATACGTGTTGCCTATTTGCAAGGCAAACCAGAGTAGCACAGAATTGATACCCCCCAAAGCCCTACAGGCAGATCCCTCAACCAACGGCTCTCAGGAGTTGATGTATAAATGCCCCAGCTCCTTGTACCTTGGGCAGAATAATTCTGTGGTGTGGGTTTTGCACCGTTCCTAGCAGTATTCCTGCAAGGTTGAGCTCAAGTACCCACTGTGGTAGCTGGCTTGATGACACGTTTTATTGGCTGTCCTCCTGTCCCTGTATCATGCAGCCACCTCATACCAGCGTTCCAAAATAAACTACCCACACTGGAATCCTTGCCTCAAGTTCTGCTTCTGGGGAATCAAACTAAGACAACTTGAATGTGAGGTCTCCCACAGGACATCTCTTGGCTTCCTAGTCATAAAGAGAACACTGGGGGAATGCATTCAGGGAACACGTGAGCGTACTATTTCTTGTTTTTCAAATTACCTGAAAGTGATGTCATCTAGATGTACTTTATTGTTTCAGTAGTGACGTTGAAGGGGCTAGTGATTAGATGAAATTGATGCATATGAGGGAAAGCCCAAAATAAGTTATTCCTGAGCAAAGTGAGCATCTGAAGGGCATCCTGGATGGCCCACACGCAGGGAGGATAATACAAATATTTAACACCTGGTACAGCACGGGCCTCAACCAGTCATACAAGCTGCCGGCCTACCTGCTGAGGGGCTGCCACACAAACTGACCATTGGCCTGCCTGGTGAAACAAGGATTCCTGGTTCTGCCTGGGTCAAGTCTTCAGGCTGGGTTGAGAGGTCAGCGGGCAAAGAAGGATTTACTTGGCTTTCTCCAAGGGGGCTCCGAGGCAGGTGCGTCTGATTTTTATTCCTTCTCAGAAACAGAAGTGACGGACTGAAACATTCACTGAACATCTCCAAAGGGAGTTAAAGGCCCAGCAGGGCCACATCGTCACGCGTCCACTTTACACTCCGACATGTTATCACTTGTGTCCTCTCCTGACTATGGAAGTTAAGGCCACAAACAGCACACAGTTTCCTTCCAGAGAGTTGTCTCTTCTCCGTTGTGGGTAGTGTGAGCAAGACCAAGGTAGCAAAATAGCCAAGGGGTAGGTGTATATGTGACCAAGATAAATAGCTCCGAGCCTCTCCTGGCACTAGGAAAGTGACGCAGAATGATGACGTAATCAGAAAAGGTGTTTGGAGTACATGTATGAGGATACTGGTGAGGGCGCTAATTCATTCAATTACTGGGGATGCTGTTAAGTATGGTTAACCCGTTCCTGCTCCCCAGACCCCAGAGTTGCCTGGTGTCTCTTCATCTCCTTGACCTTCTCGGTTGGTTCTGTTAGCCTTCCAGTAATTTCCTTGTATTGCTTAAAATTTCTATAAGTGGTTACTTTTGCTTGCAACCAAAGAACCGTAATTGATTTGGGTCCTACATGCTTATCTTCAGCCATGTTTTGTGAGGGGTGGACCCCGTGAAAGAAAGTGTGTGGCAGCAACTCCTGAAAATAAGAAAAGCCAGTCCCTGGATCTTCACACACAAAAGGAAACACAGGTGGTTGCTGTGGGTTTGAAGGACGTGGTGTATGTAACCTGAATGACAGCTTCACCTCAGTTGGCTCTCAGTTTCCTATGCAGCTAGAATTCCATCCCTATTTCCTCCATTGTCCCATGGGTTGGCTGGCCTACGAGTCAGGAACTTCTCCTAAGCAAAGCCCAAGTGGTTTGGGCAGATACTGGGGAAAGGACAAAGGCTCGGGTCAGGCTTACTTAACTTGTTAGCAATACTGGTAGACAGGGAGTAGGTGGGCATTGGAATCATGGGCTAAAATGAAGCCTGGCTGGAATACGTAGGGGCCACTTGTCATGATATTCACATTTACTACAAAGTAATTATATATGTCCATTTCCTGGGAAGCATATT